CAACCAAAAACCAAAGAAATAATTAGAAGAAGGAAAAGAAAAGCCGAAACCAAACCATTTTCCTTTGCAAATGTTCAAACTTACAACTCCTATCCCAGGTGGTCTAAAGAGACAAGCGTGTTATGGGAGAAACAAGTCAATTGGAAACACGGGAGCGGCTCGAGACTCTTTTCGAAAAAAAAAAAAAAAAAAAAAAAAAAAAAAAAAAAAAAAGAAGAAAAAAAAAAGGGAAGGAAAAATGCGCATGAAACTCTCCCTCCCGCCAAAGCAAAACCGTTCCAGAAGTTCGTTACCTTTCCACGATTATTAACACACAAAGAAACAAAGGGGTTAAACAGCATGAAAAACACCCAAAGGCGCGTCCCTCGGCAGGTCAGCGCTGCTCTGCAGGCAGGCCCAGGGCTAACTGGGCAAACTGGGCTAACTGGGCGAGGCAGAGGGTTGTCACCTCTCGTCCAGGTGTGGGGACAACACCGTGTTACACCCTTTGTCTCCTCCGAGTGGCCAGAAAAGTAGAGGAGATTTATAAACAAAACCGTAATGAAAAATCCCCACTTTTTCCCTGATATTTTTCCTTTTATTTTTTTTTTTTTAAAAAGAACCCAAAATGTTCCAGCTAAGCTGTCTGCAATAGATTCAGCACCGGATCCAGACTCACGTTCCCAAAAAATCAGAATTTCAGGGCCCAGGCGACGAGGGTGGGGTGGGGAGAAGGGGCGAGTTTCGAACGCAATTTTCCAGCTGGCCACAAAAAGGCTGTTTAAAAATTTAGCTTGGAAAACGTTGAATAATTTAAAAAAAAAAGCCTTCTCTCCATGTGCATGTGATTTAGCGAGCGTGAGACAGAGAGAGAGAGAGAAGAGAAGAGAGAAAGGAGTGCACACAGGAGCATGGCTCTGCATCGCGCTGCAGATTAACGGGAGCGTAGGTGGGAGGCGCTTCCTCTGCCGATGGGATGGAAATGGGAACACTTTGCTGGGATGTAATTATTTTTTTTTTTCCTCCCAATGGTATTTTTTTAAATTTTTTTTTGTGTTTGTTTTCAATTAAAAAAAAAAAAAATAAAAAAAGGACCAGCCCCGCTCGCTCGTCACCGAAAAGGGTTTTTTTTTTGCTGTGGAGAGATGTTAAAACCGAAGTTCCGCGCGGAATTGTCGCGGGTGAGAGAGGTTAAAGGAGGGGAAATGAGGGGGCTGTGGGGTGGGGGAACATCGAGGAGCCCATCCCGCTGTCACCACCGGGGCAAGGGTGGCTGTGGTGGCCAAAAAAAAAAAATAGGGGGCAAAAAAAACCCCAAAAGCTGGGACGGAGGGCAGCGGGGACACCGCATCCTCCTGCTGCAATCTGGGGGGACCCAGAGCTCCCAGGAGGGGGCTGAGAGGGTCCTCCCCTGATCTCACACCCACCCCAAAGCAGGGGGAGAGCCAGGATCCTTCGGGGGAACGGGGAATTCTGGCCAAAGGGATTTGTTCCCTTATGGGCTGKCTCCGGTCAGGTTTTGGGGTGAACTCTCTTGGGGCACATTTGGCTGTGGGTGACCCGGGCTCGCCCTGCGGCCCCATGAGGCTGATGGGGCAGTGCTGAGGAGTTTGGGGTTTCAGTGGGATGTCCCTGAAGAATTTGGGGTGGGATTGCTCCAAGGAGTTCAGGATTTCAGTGGGATCACCCCAAAGAGCTCAAGGTTTCAATGGGATTGCCCTGAGGAGTTTGGGGTTTCAGTGGGATGTCCCTGAGGAATTTGGGGTGGGATC